TTGACGAAGAACCGGTGCGAAAGGACTGCGCATCCTACGATAAAAGCTATCAACGCTAGCTCTTTCGTGGGCGCCATAGTCAGTTACTGATCGCTGTTCGGTGAGATCGTTGGAAAGAAACAAGGTTATGCATATATGTCCTGTGTGCGCATGGGTGTGTGTGTGTGTGTGTGTGTGTGTGTGTGTGTGGTGTGTGTGTGTGTGTGTGTGTGTGTGTGTGTGTGTGTGTGTGTGTGTGTGTGTGTGTGTGTGTGTGTGTGTGTGTGAGTGTGTGTGTGTGTGTGTGTGTGTGTGTGTGTGTGTGTGTGTGTGTGTGTGTGTGTGTGTGTGTGTGTGTGTGTGTGTGTGTGTGTGTGTGTGTGTGTGTGTGTGTGTGTGTGTGTGTGTGTCTGTTTCAGTGTGAGTATGTGTGTGTCTGTCTGTTTCAGTGTATGTGTGCATGGTATTGCGTGTACGTATTTACGTGTAGACCTAATAATAATAAATAATAATAATAAATAAATAAATAAATAAAAAAAAAAAAATAAAAAATAATCTACTAAACCGCAGAATTAATTTCCAGGAAGTGGGGGCCTTGAGGGGGGGGAGGGGGGTGTCAAGATTTATTCGCGGACAAAACCAAAGCCTCCGTCACGAAGGAACACCCGTGAGGACATGCACGGCTCACCCACCGCCCTGTCACGCCACGCCCCTGTCACGTCACGCCCCTGTCACGCCACGCCCCCCTTCCCTCCCCCTTTGCTTCTTCCCCCTCTAATTCCGTTTACCTCCTCCTCCCCCTCCACTTCCCCCTCTTCCTCCCCTCCCCCCCTCTTCCTCCCCCCTCTAACTCCCGTTTACCTCCATCTCCCCTCCACTTCCCTCCCCCCCCCACTTCCCCTCCTTCCCCACTTCCCCTCTTCCTCACTTCCCTCTTCCTCCACTTCCCCTCTTCCTCTTCCTCTTCCTCCCACGCTCTCTATCCCAATTACCTTTCGGTGCACCAGTTTGGGCGCGGGCTGGACGAGAAGCATTTTCTTCTTCTCTCTCCTTCCTTCCCCTTCCCGCTCTTCCTGCTTCCTTACCGCGCTTGTTTCTTGCTTCTCAATTACCTTCTCTCTCCTTCCTTCCCCTTCCCGCTCTCCCTGCTTCCTTGCTTCCTAAATTACCTTCTCTCTCCTTCTTCCCTTCCCGCTCCTTCCTGCTTCCTACCGCCGCATTGTTTTCCTTACTTCCTAAATACCTTCTCTCTCTTCCTTCCCCTTCCCGCCTTGCTTCCTTACTTCCTAAATTACCTTCTCTCTCCTTCCTTCCCCTTCCCGCCGCTTGCTTCCTTGCTTCCTAAATTACCTTCTCTCTCCTTCCTTCCCCTTCCCGCTCTTCCTGCTTCCTCACTTCCTAAATTACCTTCTCTCTCCTTCTTCCCTTCCCAGCTCTCCCTGTTCCTTGCTTCCTAAATTACCTTCTCTCCTCTTTCCCTTCCCCTTCCCGCTCTCCCTCCTTCCTTATTTCCTAAATTCCGGTCTGCACAAAAAGAAAAAGAAAAAGAAGAAGAAAAAGAAAAAGAAAAAGAAAAGAGAAAGAGAAAGAGAAGAAAAGAGAAAGAGAAAATGGAAAGGAAGAAAAAGAGAAACAGAAAGAGAAAAGGAAAAGGAAAGGAAAAGGAAAAGGAAAAGGAAAAGATAAAAGAAAAAGAAGGAAAAGGAAAAGGAAAAGGAAAAGAAAAAAAAAGAAAAAGAAAAAGGAAAAGGAAAAAGACGAAGGAAAAGGAAAAGGAAACGAAAACGGAAAAAAAAAAAAAAAAAAAATAAAAAAATAAAAATAAAGAGAGAAAAAGAAAGAGAAAGAGAGAGAGAAAAAAAAAAGAAAAGAAAAAGAAAAAGAAAAGAAAGAAAAGAAAAAGAAAAAAAAAAAAAAAAAAAAAAGAAAAAAAAAAGAAATACAGCGAAATAACGACTTTGAGCTAAGCATCACGCGGCCTCATCGATGACTTTCTAATCGCGGCAGCAATGAGCCCGACGGAGCCCGACGTAAGCCCGAACACCCGACGAAGCCGCGACGGAGCCCGAACGAACCCGGAACACCCGACGAAGCCCCGACGGACCCGACGAAGGCCCGAACACCCGACGAAGCCGAACCCGACACCCGACAAGCCCGACGGGCCGAGAAGCCCGTCCCGACGAAGCACCGAAACCGACGAACGCCCGACGGAGCCTGACGAAGCCCGAACACCCGACGAAGCCCGAGGAGCCGACGAAGCCCGACACTCCCGACGAAGCCCGACGGAGCCCGAACACCGTTCCGACGCGAAGCCCGAACGGAGCCTGGAAAGGGCGAACACGACGAAGCCGAAAACCCGACGAAGTCCGACGAAGCCCGACGAAGGCCCGACGAAGCCTGGCGAAGTCCGAACACGCCGATCGAAAAGTTCGCGAAGAAGTCCTGACAGAAGCCCGACGGAAGCCCGACGAAGCCCGAACACCCGACGGAAAAGCTCCGACGAAGCCGAACTCCCGGACGA